GAACTGTATATTCTGCACATGAAAAGTTTCAATATATATATATATATATATATATATATATATATATATTATGAAAGAAATTTCAATCAGCATTACTGAAAATGTGACTTCAGTAACAGGCTTTCAAACCTACTGTCCATTCTATTGGACAGACACATTTAAAAAAAAATCCTGATTTAAAACGTGCAATTCTACAGTCGATTTTTAACTTTAATTAATAAGTTCAATATTTCTATTTTACATACAAACTATGAAATACTGGCAAAAAATGTAAATACACCTTAGTAAATGTTGCTTGCCTCTGTGTTTGGAGTGCTGCCATGCTTCTCTTCAATGTAGAGTTTATATATATATATATATAATTACCACATGCAGAGCTTTACTGGCATTTGATTGGATGACAAACGTCCAATCTCAAGGACTGCAGGCTTTAAACTAGGTGAAATGATCCAGAAGTTAAAAAAGGGGGGCTGACATGTGATGTCCATTGTAATGGACACAGGGTCCGAATGGGTTAAAAAGTTCTATCAGTGCTACGTATTTGGAACCCCTAAAAGGTTTTAAGGGTTCAATAATAAGAATCCTATAGGGGTTTTTTTGTAACCAGGAAAAAGGTTCTATATGAAACCTTTTGGGTTCCTTCATTATCATTTGTTTTGTCCTTTCAGGGTTAAATATTTCATATTACTGACAAACATGAATACATGTGTATTTATGAATGCATGTGAATGATCACAAAATTCAAGATATGGGGGTTAGAAAATGTATATATTAATATCATTCTATGTACTTAATCAATATCACACGAAGAGTGCCATTTCAGTTTTTCTCCTCCAAAAATCAGCATGATTAAAATGTGATATTAAGTTACTACAACAGTTTAATAAACAATAATTTATTTACAACTACCAAATGTTTCAAAACAATGTAATATATGAATAAATAATAGCCTTTGCGCCAAAAGGGTTCGTTCTTGTTATTATAGAACCTTTTTTAGTATAAAAGGTCATTTGGATTTGAGAACCCTATGCTTCATATATGGAACCCCAAAGAACCCTTTTTTCTTAGAGTGTACTAAATAAAGGTTTTAATTGGCATCGATGATTCCATGAAGAATCTTTATCGTTCATGGAACATTTTTATTGCACAAAAGGTTCTTTATAGTGTAAAATGGTTCTTCAAAGTAAGAAAACCATGGTTATTTTAAGAACTGTTTACTCAAAAGTTCTTTGGGGAACCAAAAACAACCTTTGGAACATGTTAAAATGTTCATACTTTATAGATTACACAGAATTTTTTTTATTGTTTTGGAAATTCAGTTATTCTTGTAAAATATTTTATTCAGTTATTCTTGTATAATATTTTACAAAAGTTATTCTTGTTCCATTTTTTTCTCTTATTATTTCTTTAATAATCTTTTAATTTCTTTGGCTAAACAAAGAGGTGTTTTTTAAATAAATCAACATAGAAATGTATGCTAACGCTTATTAGGCCAAGAGCAAAGTCAGCAGAGAGCATCAATCACACAGGAAACTGCACCGAGCATTTCTAGAAACAGAGATAGTGATCACATTGCAAAGCCACAACTGAGCAAGAACTGTAATACACGTCTGACAAAAAAATGCTGAAGCCTGATTGCATAGACACTTATTAAATACACAGTTATGTTTTCCACTTAACTAATGTCATACAGCTTTATGTATATTTTAATAATGCCATGAGTTTTAATGGAAATACACATATTGTCCAGTGAAAGAAGTGCTGTGTGAATTTCTTCTGTGCGCTCATTTTAACAAATATGATTTATAGTTCAAGTCCTGATGGTGTGATATGCAGTTTTCATCAAATGGTGTACACTTATTTTACCACGATTTAACTCTAAAACAGACTCATTCGGGTCATTTGCATTCATGCATACAGCTAAAGAGTAAAACTAGATCCCACGTAAAGGGATAAAACTATAAGATCCCAAGTTTAGCTTGTAGACTGATACGCGCAGTTTAGTTCACTCTGGTTTATAATAACTAAAGTATTGATTGTTTTTTTGTTGTTTTGTTTTTTTACATACGTGTGTATCTATTCCAAATCAACATTTCAACTCTAAGAATAGTTTTAGAACGTTATGCAATATGGCGATGTTAATGTATTTGGTCTCGGTGGACTAGATCTGCTATGGTGATTGTTGATTATTAATTATTATTATTGACTTGTACTGCTAATAGTCACACTGCTAAGCATGTAAATAGACATAAATCCCATGGCAGATCAAGGCAGGTGGAGCTGGGCGAGGTGGAGGGATTCAGAGGAACTCTGGACAGTGTTACAGCATACACTGAAGCAGACTATTTAAATGTTGAGCCGCATTGTCTTCGGCTGCAGGATCAGCAGAGGCCAATCAGCTTGCGCCGTGTAGTAATGATGTGATTGCTTGCATGTAAAGGACCTATCAGCTTGCGCCCTCTAGAGTTTTGTGACTGATATAACTACATATTGACTACATATTGCATGTCTACAGCATAAACTTTAAAGTAGACTATTTAAGATGATAGTTTCTCTTTCTTTACAGCCTGAAGACACACCAAGGACTCTCTAAGAGCTCTTTCTAAGATCTTTTAGCTTCTCATAAAGGTTCAACTCTTGTACTTTTGTGACAAAATGTGAAACTTTCACTTGCTGCCCTTTGATGTTAACTCCTTAAATGACTAATGACTTGTACTTTCCTCAAGTTGAAGAGTTAACATAAAAGCGTCAATGAAAATGTAAAATATGTGTAATGTATTTTTTATTTACTTCAATCATTTGACCCAATGCATTTATTTTATACATGCATCTAAAAAAGTAAAGAAAAATACCTGCATGTAATTACATATGTAACTAATTTCTGTAATTACACCTATAATTACACTGGTGACCCTTCCTCTACCCCTTAACCCACCTTTCAATTCGTATACTGGGTTGTTTTAACCCAATTTTGGGTCAAATATGGACAAACTCAAACATTGGGTTTAAAATGTAATTTAAAAATGTAACCCAATGGCTGGGTTTGTCCATATTTGACCCAAAATTGGGTTGAAACAACCCAGCATTTTTTAGAGTAGAGTGTACATAACATTTTTATTGAAGTTAAAAACACCTCATATAAACTGATGCTGATAACTGCTTCAGTGTTACACTTATTTTCAGTATTTCCAAATTAATGTAATAATGACAGCAATGTAAATTTTTTACAAATTAGAACATGTGTAATACATTTCTAGAGTTGAGAATCTCACACTATCCAGCAGGTGCCAAACTGAACAGAGACAATAGAGCGACAGCACCCCCTGCAGATATACTAGATTTTTAGATCTATTGTCATATAAATACTTAAAATATTTATATAAAAAATATTTAAATTCCCTTTTATACTTAAAGGGACCGACAGACAGATTGAAAAAAAGAAAAGAAAAAAAAGAAATACTGAGCTTATTTTTGTGCCACACATATCATTACAAGCAAACAAAAATAAAAATGCGTTAAATTTTTAGAATATGAAATATTTGCCATAAGCTAGTGTTATTTCATCACTATTCCAACGATTAGTGGGCTAATCAGTTGCATCGGTCTTTATATTATATTTATTTATACTTTATATTTATATACAGTTATAGTATTTATTAATATTTTGAATTTGTTTTTATTTTTTTATATTTCTAGTTTTCGTTAAAAAATCATTTTAATTTTGACATGTTTTAATATTTCTATTTAGATTTATTTTTAGTAATTTTAGCACTTATGTTTTCAGTTAGTTGCCAAGGCAACATTTAAAAAAAAAAAAGTGTATTAGTATAAGTTTTCAAAATACGTTTTATTTTATTTGTAATTAAAGAATAATAATCCAGTAACAACACTGCCATAAACTATAGCTAACTCTGTGTGTGCGCCAAACGACTGAAAACAATCTAAATCTAAAAATAGGGGGAAACAAGAGCCCTCAACAAAATATTATCAACACACAATGCTAAATAAAATTAAAAAAACAATCAAACTGTTATGGTCCCACTTTATATTAAGTGGCTTTAAGTACTATGTACTTACATTTAAAAATAAGTACAATGTACTTATTGTGCTCATGTTGTATTGTAAATCACTTTTGGTGCTATGGGCTATATGCACGCATAAGTTCCGCATTTGACGTAAGGATGCTCGTCCATTTCCGGTTGTGTAGATTAAAGCGGAGGAAAACCGGAGAAAACGGGATTATGGCAGAGTCTTCAATATTTACTGTCCTCCCGTCTTTGAAACGAAACGTACATACGTTTAGATGTAATTTTATATATAGTTATGTTTATTTAATATAATTTTAAAAAGAAGCATAAACACAACGAGGGGTGTCTGTTTTATCTGTTTTTGTGACTAACGTTTCATTGGTATAACCATGGAGTATAAAATTCAATATAAATTCTCGGTATTGCATTGGACTCTATGATCGGCGGAAGTTATCGAGCATCCTTAATCCTTCACCGGAAATAACGCCGTGCATAGAGCCCATTGAGGTGGGATACGGGTAAGGTTAGGGACAGGTGTGGTGGTATGGGTAGGTTTATGGGTAAGGAATGGGTCAGCTGTGTAATTACAGATGTAATTGCATAAATTAATTACGGCTGTAATTACATGCTGGTATTTTTTTTAAATATAAGTACAATGTAAAAACATGCATGTACACAATAAGTCCATTGTATCCAATTATTAATTTCAATGTAAGTACATGGTACTTAAAGCCACTTAATATAAAGTGGGACCCACTATTTTAAGGTGTCATTGTTACAGTGTAATTACAGTGTAAATACTGCGCAATATGAATTAACATACAATTTAATTAGGGTTAAGGATTGGTGTATGTGTATTTGTGTGTAATTATGCATAATGTACTGTTATTATTATAGTAAGTACAAGTAAGAAGTAAAACAAAGTGAAAATTAAAATAACAAAAATAATAATTTATCTAATTATTGATATCATCAAAATAAAACCGTAAACTATCAGTAGTTTCCGAAAGTGCTAAATCTGACCTAGATAAGGACGGAAGCCTACATGCAGTTCATCGGGGGTTTTCTGGGCACAGCATGATTAATCAATCATCTGTTGTGGTTTTTGTGGCATCTTCAGAGGACGTGTAAAAAAAAAAATGAAAAAAGTTTAATAAACATTTGGATCACTGTATCCTGTCTGATGCACTGTCTCTGCTTAATGTAAAATGAAAGAAGGTCAAAGGGATGTGGGAAACGGTTCTTCCAGAAACCCACACATGTATGACAGCATTAATCTGAGACAATCACTGCTTGTGTTGCATTAATCCAATCTCTTGCTGCAACACTGGACATAATTACTTCCTAATTTAAGACAAATTACTAAGAAAAGGTGCCTCCGACACTCTGAAGTAAGAGTGATTTTTTTTTTATTAGGCTTAAAACACTGTATTGTTATGTCAAAAGTTATGCAAGATGACTCCAGCTTGTCTTTAGGTATAATATTAGTAATCAAGTCTTCTTTTGAATTTTACTTTGGAACCGAAGTCAACATTCTCTGAAATCTATTAATGATCATGAAGGGGTGTGTGTGTGTGCGTGTGACGTGCAATCAACTCCATCGCGGAGATTACCTCAGCATCACATCCTCTACACACTATAAGTAGACTGACTGATCAGTGTAGAAGTTATGAAGACCTGCATCTCAGCATCTAGACACCTCAATAGAAACCAACATGGACCCAAGCATGAGGACTTTCTTGCTCTTGGCACTGACGCTTGTGGCCGTTAATGGATCAAAACCCAACGTGGAGAAAATTCTCTTAAGGGAAATTATAGAGAGCGTGGAAAAGATCCTAAATAACAGTTCAGCGAAGGTAAGAATCGAAGTCCATCGTTTAGGTCTTGTTGCGATTTCGAAAAGTCTAACAACGCTCAATCTTTCTTCTGTAGATTAACCAATTTGTGGAAGACATATTTCCAAGCAGAAGCTGCTCAGTGAGTTGAATTTTATATCAAACTACAGTATTTAAGAACTGATGTTCATGATGGTAAAAATATTCAAAATGACTTTTTTGGTTACATAGAAGGAAAACCTTTGCCAAGCAGAAATGGTCCTGAAGAACACACATCTAAACCAGACCAAGCTACACAGGAACCTGCGTGCCTATGCCAAACACACCGGGGTAAGTCACCGCCCAATATTCATTCATTGAATAAGATGAAAAACAACAGATCATATTTATAACCCATACCATTCTGTGTCTATATTATTGAAGTAGCATTCTGCTTAAACCAATGCTATTCGCTGATAGTATTAGCGTGATCTTTCCATTGAACAAAAGAATCAGTAACAAAAAAGCCAATAAATGTAGTTATAATTGAAAAAAATAAGTTATGAGGTATTGTCAAGTTCATATAACTTAATTTGTCCAATTATGCCCTTTATTACTTAATCATTTTAAGGCAAAAGGTTTCCTCACTTTTTTTTAAGTTAAAAAAAAAAGTTTGCTGATAATTTACTCACCCCCATGTCATCCAAGATGTCCATGTCTTTCTTTCTTCAGTCGAAAAGAAATTAAGGTTTTTGATGAAAACATTTCAGGATTTTTCTCCATATAATGGACTTCAATGGGAACCAAACGGTTGAAGGTCCAAAAGACAGTTTCAGTGCAAACTGCAAACTGTTCAAAGGGCTTTAAACGATTTCAGACGATAAATAAGGGTCTTATCTACTGAAACGATCGCTCATTTAAAAAATAAATAACAAAGTTTAAGTTTTATAAGCTCAAATGCTCGCCTTGCTCTGTACTGTGATGCACGTTCGTGACTCTCCTGTTGGAAACTCATTTATCAAAATGAACTAATCTTTTCCCGAGTCAACTCGTTCATTTTGTTTATTGAATGAACCAAATGACACAAAAAAAGATTCATTTTGATGAATGAGTTTGAACAGGAGAGTCACGAACGCGCATCATAGAACAGAGCAAGGTGACCATTTGAGCATGGGGGTGAGTAAATTATCAGCCAAAGTTTTTGAACTACTCCTTTAAGTCAACTGATCACTTTTTACAGTGCCAAGTAAAAGGTTCACTGTAATCTAATATAACTGAATCTGTTTGTTTTTCTCCACAGCACCATAACTGTAGCGTTCACGCTTCAGTCACACATCCGATGAAGGAATTTCTCACAAAAATCAAAAAATGCTGCCAATTTCAACTTAATAACGCACATGTGAACATAAGACATTAGACTTCTTATTCTATATTTTTTGTATTTGCTCATATTTATGTCATATTTATTGTATTTATGAATAAACATATATGATTAATTTTTAATTTTGGAATTTGAAATGATTATTTTAAAAACAAAGCCACAATTTTACCTTGTAAAATAATTTAATAATTTAAGGACGAGTACACGAACAAAAAAACAAAACTGTAAATGTAAACATTTTTACAGAATCCATTAGACTAATGGTTGTACTACAGTGCACAGTGGAAATACATTGCAATTAGAGTAAGCTGAGCTAATGGGAAGGGAAGATGGCATGCACATTCTCACTATAAAAAATTAAGTAGCATAGCTTGTGTAGATGGAGCTAAAGCAATTGCACGCTGCCAATTTTATAAAACATTAAGATGAGATTGGTCTCTCAATAGCATATTACCTGACGGCAAGAGCATCTCTTGTGTCAGACCAATAAGCTGCTCAACACATGCCAGCACAGCCATCAGTGTCAAGCCGAATATACAGTAACAGTGTTTATGTGTGAAGGTGAAATGTGCCGTCTGGAGCGCTATCATAATGGACGTTTTACCGCAAACTCCCCTCACCTAAACCCAGCTTTGGAGCAGCTCTGGACTTTCACACATGATTTCTTTTCATCTACACTTAAGTCAAAGTGCCTTTACGTCACAAGAATTGGCATTCCCTAAGACATATACTGGACTGGCCTTGAAAATGTACAAAATATAGTGGTCTTCATCAGACAACAAGCTCACTGCAGCAGGGATTCAATCACCGCCTCTGGTTTGGAGGAGCGTTTCCTAAAAAAAAAAAAATTAGTACTTTCATTCATCAAAGTTGCATTCAATTCAAAAGTAACAATGAAGACTTTAACATTGATACAAAAAATAATAATATTTCAAATACATGCTGTTCTTTTGAACTTTCTGATCATCAAAGAATCCTGAAACAAAAAAACATCACGAAAAATATTTCAAAATGCCATTAATGTTTCAAGAAAAATATTAAGCATCACAACCGGTTTCAACATTGATATTAATAAGTAATGACAGCTGAAAATTCAGCTTTGCCAAAACAGGAATCAATTGCATTTGAAAATTGTTATTTTAAATTGTAATAATATTTCACATTATTACTCAGTTTTTTTTTTGCAGCCTTGGGGAGCGTAAAATACTTTTTTCAAAAACATTAAAATGAATTATTATAAAATTTGACTGGTAGCGTATCAACTTAAAATAACGAAATGTATAAATATTACTGTTTTTATCGTCTATTTTTCTGTCTGTGGTATCACTTTACAATAAGGTTTCATTAGCTAACAAACTAACAGTGAACTCCTACAGCATTTATTAATTAATATAAACAAAGGTTAATAAATGCTCTAAAAATATGTTGTAGTTCATGTAAGTTACAGCATTAACTAATGTTAATGTAAAGTATATAAAGCTGTGGATTTACTATTTATTAATGACTGTTTATGATCAAATAAATGCAGCCTTGAGCATAATAGACTTCTTTCAAAAACAAACAAATTCAGGCTCCAAACATTTGAAAAGTAATGTACAAAACGTGAGACTCAAATCACAGCAAACACTATTGGTAAAGCTTACATTTGCTTTGGATAATTTCATTTAAAAACAGTTTTAAAAAAGTTTTTGAATCACTTTTCCATAAAAAATATCATTCTGGACAGAATAATGAGATATACTTTATGTTTATAGTGCCAATTTCAACAATGAATGTACTAAGGGTCTGTATTACTGTATTATGTACAGTTTAATTACTAAAAAAATCGTTGATTGACCTTAAAACATTATAAAAAGTTGAATGTCCTTAAACATTTAATTTTTTTTTTATTTTTTATTATAGTGCTGTACTTTTAAACAACATCTAAAGTCATACAGCAAATTAATGCACTCAGGGTCATTCCATACTTTTCCAGATCTCATTCCAAACTATTTTTAAACCATATTTAACAAAAATGGTCCAGCATTATTTTTGGTAAATAGTAGTTATCTGTAAACACCTTTACATGGTTGAATAATGAGAACCAAACCACCAAACAGCAAAGTGATTTAGATGACTGTTCACTTCTTTATCTGTTTCTGTGTTGAGTGGCTCACACACATTCATTTAGAGACTCGCTTATGGTAAAGATTTTCACAAATAATAAAAAAAAATCACTAAAATTTTATCTTAAAAACTTGTAGCGCAGGGTATTGACAAATTTCACAATTTGACTTTGGTTCTCAAGAACGTGATTCAATTCAATTGCAATTTTGATTAAATTCCATTAGATATTGATTAATTGAGGCATGTATCAGGTACAGAACAGCAAATTTTCAAGAAAAAACAAACAAAACATCTCATCTAATTCTGTATACTGTTCAGGGAAACCCATTTGGTAGGCTACATTGGAAACCATTACAATCTATAATATTATTGTAAAGTTATTAGCCAGTCAGCTTTTTCATTGGCCACAATTTTGGCCCATTTAGATATTTTTTCATATTCATATTCATATTCATATTATCTCATAATTTGGCAGCATGCATAATAGGCTGCTGTCACTTTAAGACCTGACACATAGATCCATTATACTGTTACACGTGTTTTCTTTCTCAACTGTTTATGTTCACTAAAAGACATAACTAACTATACATGAATACTCACCCAGACTGTTTTTTTCTGCATTATTTTGTGTGTATTTGACTGTTTAATCGCAACAAGCAGAGAAGAAGTACTCAATTTAGTACTGAGACGCGACTTTATGTGTGCGCACTTTGAGGGGAAATCAGGGGGAAAGAGAAAAATTATGTGCAAAACGTGGAAATACCATGTTGAAATTCTTCCGCAACAAATAAAAATAGTGAGTGGTGTGTCAACTCGCTTTCAGAGGAAACATGAGAGAGCAAGAAAGCACAGCTGGTTTTCTGCCCTACAAAGCAAAAAGGCAGTAACTACGCAGAGTTCAGAACTGAGAAAAATGACTTTTGCTAGGGCTTTTTGCAGTTACTGTACAAACGACTACCATTTTTCTCTAAAACGACACACATTTAAGATATGTTTTGTCACATAACAAAGGATGTCTTGAATGTCATGAAAATTGTAATAATTTTTGCTTTGTAGGGCAGTATTGTGTATCTATTTTGCATAAAATTAGCATTGGAAGTGCTTCAGATATTTCAGGATCTGTATTGAAAAATCTATATTGTCTTTTTAAAAGAGTGCAAATGTAAAATGTAAATTATATATAAAATTTAACCAGCCAAAGTGGCTAGTAGTCGGGTTGACGTGTTAATGTCAAGACCTGGTTATAATAACTTTAATTGCATTATTATGTTTTTACTTGTTTTTTTGAAATCTAAAAATTTAAATAGTGGCTGTCATAAAATGTATTCAAGCATACATTAAATATTGAACATGTTAAGTAAAAATACAATAAATATGCAATATAGTGTGTATATTTAGCAAAATGCTCCACTCTAGAGTTCATTTTTGTAGCTGCCGAACACGTTTATGGTTATTGAATGGCTTTTCTGAGGTAAATGTAGGCTAATCATACGTGGCATTTTGATTACAACAGGGGTCCCCATGCCCATTCCAGGAAATCTACCTACCTGAAGAGTTCAGATCCAACACACCTAATCAAGCTCCTGTCTAAAGATCTTAATTAGCTGGTTCAGTTGTGTTTGACCAGGATTGAAGCTGAACTTTGCAGATCTCAAGCAACGGGATTGGGCACCCCTGGTCTTTTTGATTGAGTGATTACACTAGACATGAAAGGGATTTCAGTAAGATGTACTTTATCTTTTAACATTTCTTCTAAGGTGCTTAGAAGTGCTACAGCGATCGGTCACGCAAAAAAAACTGTATTTATTGTTTGAATTTATAATAAAATGTACAGAATTTGAAAGCTGAGACTTTGTTTCATTTCAAAAGGTACAAAACTCAAAGCTATTTGCGATTTATTGGACGGGAGGGGCTACAAAGTTTTGTTTATTAATCAACTGCAAAACCGAATAGACAAAAAGATTGATTCTTGGGATTTAAGGATTGATATTGGTTCATAAAAATTAGAATAGATTAAAATCGAGAAATCCTGTGTGATAATCCTACATTTATTTTTTAGAAATATTTAATTTATACTTTAGAAAACTCTGGTCTGGAAACACAAATATGTTGATGATTGTTTTTTTTTCCATACTTTTTCAGACCTGGAAATGACAAATCAAATTCCATACTTTAACAAAGTGTGTATGAATCTTGTATGCACTAAAATGAAGGATTATTTAATTGTATATTGTGACTGTGCCTCTGTTGTGCAAAGGTGTAGATCACAAAGTAAGAAAAAAAGAAAACACCTCACCTACGACTAGTTTTCGGCCTGGACTTTCCGCTCTTTGATGTCCGAGGCCTTTCTAGTTTCATTAGGGACTGTCTCATGCTCTCCTCGGTGTACGCCAGATAAACATGGGAGAGGTCTACTTCAAATGGCTGAGTCACGAAAGAGGACAGAGGACAAAAATTAAACATGAAAAGGGAAGAGCATGCATCACGTACGCCTCTGGAAAACATTCGATCTGAACCAACACTTACATCTTTTTCTTTCTTGTCTGACACAGGTGTCTGTTTTCTCATGTTGTTGCCTGTATAGGCCACGCATTTCTAAAAAATAGCAAATAGATCAGTTGTATTACACCTTTTCATTGCTCCCAAACATCACGCCAGATTGGAGAATCGTAGAATGAAATATGTAAAAAAAAAACTCACCAGCTGCCACTCTCCAATGTCCTCATTCCAGTGCACATAGTTCTCAATCATCTCCTGTACAATAAGACAACAAACAAAATGTTGTTTGCACATTTTTATAGTTGGGAACCTGTAACGCAGAGATAAAATTAAGCTAAGCTCAGATATTCTGGATATTCTTTAGGGGACTTTTAAAAGTCATGAGAATATCACATTTACATTTATTTATTTAGCTGACACTTTTATCCAAAGCGACTTACAATTGCTATATATGTCAGAGGTCGCACACATCTGGAGCAACTAGGGTTAAGTGTCTTGCTCAGGGACACATTGATGTCTCACAGTGGATTCAAACCCGGGTATCTCACACCAAAGGCATGTGTCTTATCCACTGTGCCATCACCTTTTAGAGACGGTAAATGCGTAGTTTAAAAAAAAAAAAGCTCATTATTTCACTGAACTGCATTTGACTTATTCAGTTCTTAAAGGGATTGTACAGCCAAAATGAAAAATTCGGTCATTTACTCTCCCTCATGTCATTCCAAACCCGATTTTTTTTTTGTTGTTTTTGGAGAAAAGACAACATATTTGAGCATTCTTCAAAATATCTTCTTCTGTCCTTTTCTCAAAATGTCAAATTTTTGTGTTTCACAGAAAAAGGAAAACTCTTTCTTTCTTTGAAACGACATGAGGGCGAGTAAATGATGACACAATGGTAATTTTTGGGTGTACTTTTTTTCTGTGCATTGTATTTGCCAGCTCAGTTTTGACATTTTTGCCTTAGTAGTGCAAGAGTAGCAGTTCACACTTTATATTATCAGCAAAAATATCAGACTAATCCTGTTAACGGTGGAAAAAGATTTGTTAATTTATGCATGTGCTACAGCCTGAAGCTCTGTTTTAGTGCAGGAGAAAAAATAATAATGGCAACTTTTACAAATATTGAAAACTCTAGTAGTACTGTATAAAATTATATACTAATTACTGCAGTGGTTTTTATATATATATAGACCATTTCACAAGATGTAAACAACACTGGTCCAGAAACACTTGCTGTTTCAGTTTGTAACTGTTGTCTTTATTTCACATGTAAAGAAAACATCTTAAAGATGTTTGTTTAACTTTTTGATTCAGTTTTAAATGTTCTGTTGGTTGTATTTTACCCCAGCTTTTATGTAGTTTTAAAAAACTGAAACAGGAAGTGCTTCTGGACCAGTGTTGTTTACATCTTGTGAAATGGTCTATAATAAGTACTGAACAAATGTCTTGGGCATGTTAGTATTTTTTAAAAAAGATGACACATTAAAGTAATAAAAAACTATTTTTTAAAGCATCCAGACTTTTTTTACAGTACTCGAGCTTTGCAGGGAGGTTTCTTATGTGTATATATGTAGATGCTTTAGATGTATTGTACATTCTAAGTTAATGTTAACTAATGTAGTTAACAAATGAGACCTTATTATAAAGTGTTACCGAAAAAAAATATACAATGTGTCCCTGGGGTTCTTTACAAAACAAAGGGGTTTTTTTTTTTAAATGGTTGGAGCAGATATTGTGGGAAGAGCAGATAATAAGTGTTCAGCATAGATTTTTAATATTAATACATCATGCCAGCTTTTTACAGTTTCACTGTTATTCTAAAATATGTTAACAATAAAGAATGAGTAGCTGTGTCCAAACTTTTGACTGGTAGTGCATGTGCACCAGCACCTGATATTCCTGAGGAATAAAATTATCAATGATGAGCATCTGCAGACGCAGCTCTCGGCTCAGCTGCCGGATGTTTTCCAGCAGGCCTTCGATCTCCCTGTGATGCTCTTGCTGCAGATCCGCCATCTGAAACAGAAGAGACGGAGAAGTTCAATATCATGTCAACTATGCTATTTGAAAGCACAAGAAATGTACCGCACCTCAGATTTTGCTGCCATCAACATGGTCCACACTTTCTTCAGTTTCTTGGTCTTGCCTTGAGCCTCTTCTTGTAAACTGGTGTATTTCTCCTCAATGTCCAAGCGCTCTTGCTGTTTTAGAGACATTTGCAACCATGATCCACTGTGAGATAAAACTATACAAGAATATTGGTCAAGAATGATTATGCTAAAGTCTTATCATCATCTTTACCTCCTTTTCTTCCAGTTCTCTTCGGAGCTGCTCAGCCCTCTTCCTCCTCTCCTCCAGTTCATTGTTGGATTCTTCCAGAAGCTTCTCTTGCTCCTCGGCCTTAGCCAGTAAATCAACCCCACCAACAATAACCCTCTTTTCCAGAGCGGACAGCTTCTCAAGTAATAAGTGATGTTCCTGTCTGAGATACAGAAAATAACACAAAGCATGACACCATTATACCGTACTCATACATAAATTAAATTAATATCTATGTCAGTGTTTCTCAAACGGTGGGTCGCAAGACCAGTGGAGTGTGTAGTCAAAGAAACATCAACAACAGCAACTGTAAATGTGTTTTTTTGTTTGTTTTTTTATGCAAGACTTTTATTTTTTTTAAATAAATGTGAAAGCTATTGACTCTTCTGTCAAACGCAGTTTAAGTGAGAAAAACACATTAGTGTTCATTTGTTTTATTAACCGTTCATTTTAAAAGTGTGCATTTACCCTAACAGAAAATACCCCATTATTTTCACTTTGTGTTTCTATATTTTTGATGACTATGGTGGCTCAAACCAACTTACAAATTGTATTGTATGCAGGACCAGGGAAAGACAATCCAGCACTCTGGGCAAAACAGGAATATGCCACCCCATTTTCATAAAATTTTTACGAAAAAAAGTCTATTTATCACATATTGACCCTTACTGTTGACTTAAGACAGTAATTAATACAGTTGACTCATCATTTAAAAGAGAACCTTTCTTGCTTTGGCTGCAGCAAACTCTTCAATTATATTAAAGTAATCCAATTTGCAACCGATTGGTGCATTTTGATTGATGAATCCAAACGTAGCGTTTACAATGTATTAAACTTAACATGAAAAAGTTAAACTGGGTTGATGTGCGGAATAGATTTTTTGACATGCGCACACAGCACAAAATAGACAGAGTTTCCAGCTTTTTGCATAATAATAACTTTTCTCCTACACAGCTTAATGACTAAAGCCTTGTTCACACTACATGATTTTAAAACGTCGGGCGGAGATGCTGTCCGCTGTGCAGTTCACACTACATGACTTGCTCTCAGTGAAATCAGGAGTGTTCAAGTTGTTTAGCTGTTCACACCACACAACACAACGTGATTGATCCACAACAGGAGGTAACTTACTACACGAGTTGACAACGCACTATATAGAGATATAACCATGATCGGGTGATAAGAGCAAATCATTATTGACTCTAATGAGAGCTGTTTCAGTACTATGGTACGGTCTGAATCATGAAAATAATCAAATAAATAATGAGTTGACAACAACTCTGTCACCCAACGATTCTATCTTGTCTACAAACCATGTTTTGTCATAAAAAACCATGAAAAACCAGCAATAAAACGAATCAGAAATGATGCGAAACAGCACGTGCGAAGAGAACACGTGAATATGGACGTCAGACATAAACACTGTTGCTGCACACTGCGCAACGATCTGCTTTGAGGAAAAAAATGCAAAATAAATATAAAAAATAAGATTTCCCTGGTGTCCTCAACCCATGCGTTGCTTTGATTGGCTGTACTCATGACATCACTGAGTTTGAGTCGCGCGACGGCTCTTGATATCCTGCAGGCTAGATATTTTTCTGGGCTCTGCGACGCGTCTGCGAGGCATCTGCGAGCGTTTTCGCTGCGTTGTTGGCTCTTTCATACTAGCAGATTGCCAGGCGTTCATCGTCCGCTAATCCCCCGCGATTTGCACGCGATAACACCCTGACCTGTCGGCGAGCTCAATGATTTCCAAATCGGGCATAAATCGGGCATAAATCGGGCTTAAAATCCTGTAGTGTGAACTTGGCTTAAGGGAAAATGGGGGTTCCACAACCAAATGAGGTAATAACCACTGATCTATATTAGACTGCGCCGAAATTTGTGCTGGTAGGTTTAGAGATCACCGTTTCACTGGACAGATCCAAGATGCCAGCATCCATTCAATGACTTGTTACACAGTATATCATCTTACTGGGCTTTGAGAAGGTCCTTCTCTCTCTTCTCCAGCTCTGCACGTGCTTTGTTCCTCTCTTCCTCCTCCATGTCCAGTTTGGCCTCCAGCGCCTTCCTTTCCTCCTCTATCTTCGCCTGCATCTCCACCATCTTGTCAGGAGATACCTTCTTTCTTCCTGAGCATGACACATTCAGAAAAGATAAAAAACCTCAGCAGAAACACTTAGCACAAGAAATAACATCACATCAGATCAACATCACATCAGAGCAACACAACCATTTTGTAGCAGCTATATTACCCAGCTTAATTTCATCCCAGTTTCATTGTAAACTGACTAACACTGCTCACACGAATTTCATTTCATGACTATTTGCATAGTAAACTTATTGCTAGTTCAGGCATTTTTCACATGAGGTGTTCAATGGTTAGTGATTAACTGCTGTCATGGGTGAATCTCAGGGAAAAACAAGTGTTTAGGTCTTATTTTAACCCAAAACCAAAAAGAATAAATAAATTATATTTTATATTAAGAAAATGGAACCTGTATTAGTATTTCTAATAAGTTCATGACAGGATTTGAGACATTCACTGGAGGCTGCAATAAATGTCAACACATGTTTCTCATCCTCAATGATAAAGTCCCCCTGCAGTCAATAATTGTATCCCTTAGAACACATCTTTGATAATCAAGATGACATTTTTTTTTTTCTGTGAAAATGTCCTCATGGCTTAAAATAGCTTGAATTTGACTCTGCACCCTTGATTAATTAAGTAGTACAAATGGAGCCATGAATATCCGAATTATGCGTAATTACCCTAGGCTCGAGATAACAACACGTGACGTTCTATTTGGAACTGTTCAAAAATATTAAAACAATTAAGGGCATTTTCCATCTGTTTCCAATGAGCTAAATGCACAATGGGCATTTTTTAGACATTTTTTTAATTACATTTATCTTATCTAAATGCTGCTTTGTGACCTAAAATGTTAAAATGGTGTTATTTTGTTGTTAAGAGTTTACGCAACACAATGAAGCTTGATTTAAATCATTAACGACAGGCAAACACATGGCTGCTGTCACTTTTAGAGTTAGTGCACGGATCTGTTTTCATTACCTGAATTTTGACACAATTTAGTGTTTTTTTCCCCCGTGTTTTTAAGAAACATAATCTGCGATAAATAACTTATTTTCGAGCGGTTTGTGAGGCGGTATGTGTGCACACAGAGAAAACCATCTCTCAGAGAGCGCGCGACTGAATAGTTTAAAATCGCTTGAATGTTTAAACTGATAAGTTATAAATAGGGCTTTGGCGTTGTGACATCATTACTTGGCATGGCCGCCATGTTGATTGACTCCTTTACTGCTACTTGGACTACTGCGCACTGTTTATAGACGTACACCTTTCTTAGTCGTGTGTCTTAATTTGATTAATTTGGCATTACTATTTTACACCACAAGCAAGGTACTGTACCGATACTAAAATGTGACATCACTGATTGGTCAGACAGAATCGTCACTACCATTGTATTTGCGAGACATCAAACCCGCTAGATTTAAATAGCCAGTTACACTGCTATAGCAAGTGTTTTAAAACTACTTGCTTGACTTGCTTGAAGGAAAAAAAAGAAAGAAAACTTCCAAAAAAGAAATGGCTGAAGTGCTGACGTTCCTCTCGTTGGTTGCCGAGGAGGCGCGGATAAACTATAACGGTCAGAATATATAATCCCCCCACTTTGAAGCTGTACTATGCAGTGGAAAAGCAAATCGAACTAAAGCGAACCGAGCCGTGCCGAGCCGTACAACGCAAAGGAAAAGCAAAGCGAGCCAAACCGTGCTGAACTGTACCGCAGTGGAAAAGCACCATTTGTTGGAAATTTTATATGGATCCAAACCGTTAGTCCCGATTTTTGGTCCACATACCGGTCCCTAGCTTCCCTATTTAACTTTTCTTGGTAAATTCCACATCCTTGTAGGGATTTGAAAACTTTTTTCTTTTTTTTCTTTCTCCCGACTTTGCTTCTTCTCCTCGTTCGACTTGGTGCATTTTTACATTCGCAAGGCCATCAACATGGCCGTCATGTCCCAGAATGCAACGAGGCACCCAAGCCCTATTTACGTTACGAAGCACTACTGGCCCGATTGTGCAAGTGACAATTCCGTCATGTCCCGACTCCTAAACGCGAGAGTGTAGTATCGCCGCCTGCAGCGCTTGGCTTGTGCAACCCATTTTAAAGTCCCCATCAATTCAAAATTGACCATACTTACTTTGTTTGCCAAAATTAATCATTTTATGGTGTACAATTAATCCATGCACAATACACAATAAAAAAATTTGGCTTCGTAATCTTTAACGAAAATCTGGAAATTCCCCTCCCCTCTGCATTGGAGGACCTTCCCTGATGACGTAGGTTTGACGGTTTGGGTGTCTGCTTAACATCCGTAACCACGCCCCTCCAACTGACAGTAGACAGGCTGCTTGTGTGTTTCCGAGCATTGATAGCGCGTCAAAGGAGAGATGGCGAGGAGGTGCATTTTTGGTTGTGTGGCACTCATGGGTTAGTGAGTTACACACAGGTTACTATCATAACGGTTAAGGTTGCAGCAGTAATAGCAAATAAAAATAATTTTATAATTCTAATTAGTGTTTCTAGACCCAATCAAGTGCTAGTTGAAAAAAAAATCCACACCTACTATTTTGCCTCATTTAGTATTCAGTTTCTCTCGGAAATACGTCACAACACTGGAGAAAATTCGTTTGCAACTTCCGGTTCATGGGGACTTTAAGAGACAAGATGCATGCGTCATACGTCATTGCGTCGCTATATCATTGATATCGTGATACGACACTTTTTTATCATGTAAAAATGTATAGTGGACGGTATAAAATGGCACAGCACTACAATGACTACATTACCAAAAAGCTAATAATGTGTTGGCAGTAGAAAAAGGGGCCTTTTCAAACCACATTGGTACATTTACACGACACCGACGTACTAAAAATTAAAAAAAGATTTTCCTTTGCGTTTTTTCCGCATACAGACAATGACTAAAACGCTGTATTATACATGCCAGGCCAGTAGATGACAATGTCACTACATAAAGACACTACATACTTATAGACTGAACACATAATCCGCATGACATCACAGTTTTCACAAATTTATTTTTGTTTACACGGAGATGGAAAAAAAACTGCACTTTTGATACCCGTTTTAAAAAGATTGCGTTTTCAGGCTCCCACAACACTATTCTCATGTAAAAGAATGGCTAATACACTTTTTTTTTTTTCAATTTTTAGTTAAAAACGGTGGCATGTAAACAGTCTTTGGTTCACTGCAGTTTTAAGGAGAAACTACTCAGTAATGACAAATGGTATTGCCAGGGGCGGACTTAACCATTAGGCAAAGGTCGGCAATTGCCTTGGGCCCCGAGCTATCTAGGGGCCCCCAAAATGCGCCATTAAATTATGCTTAAGTTGTTTTTTTTTTTCTTTTCGCAAATTATAAACTTTAAAAATAAAGTTTACCATGCATTTCTATTGGAATCCAGAGGAAGCTTATGCAGCCACTGTCTTCTTCAACAACCAGGCACTGCACAATATTTTGTATTGATCAGTAGCTCGATCCGGTTTGTCATCACAAGGTAGGCCTATGTTATTTAGCTATGCGTGTAATGCGCGAATCGGTGGGCGGGGCTAAACTCGCCGTGTTGAAGTAGGCGTTGATCTTCTTCTGCGGGGGTGGTGTTTTATCCTCTTTGACGTCATAGTTCCCCACTTTAAAAACGAGTCGTTTGCTGGGGCAGGTGTCAATAAAAGCTTTTATTGGACTAAAAAGGACGTTTTCAGTTCTGAAACTTACAGGAAATTCTTATAATATGATGACCTCTTAGATGTCAAAAGCTCAAGGAAAATTTGATTTCTCAGTTCATCACCCCTTTAAAAGCGCCATATAAATGAAGGTGACTTGACTTTATGAAACCCACGCACATTGTGCAATAAGAGAAAACACACAAGCACATATCATATCATATCATCATCTAACTGTCTTTTAAAGCAGAATCAAGTCTGCAATTGTGTTGGAGTGAAATGACACAGCAGTGACCTAGCATTAGGCTGATGCAGAAAAACTGAGGTGCACCAGAAAGGAAGACGATAAGCATGAAGTAATCAGATGTGAGTTTCAGTGAGAAAGGTGAACCATTTATAGAGTTCCTGTCGGTAGAAGTATAGTGTCCTATATTCAGCTTCTGCTGTGTCACTGGGTCTGCTGCTCCCTACTGATTCAATTTATTTACACATCTGTTTAATGGCACCTAAAATAAAGGCTTGACTTGGTGAATAATAATTCATGTCATTTATTAAATGTTATTAGAAGCTGGCTAGATTTTATGATTAGCAGCCACATTGGAGTTGAGCATTTTAAGATTAATTTAAGTTCTTTAAATTTAATTTATATTGTGTTAAACGCACATCTGGGGCTTTGAATACAGTTATGTACACTACTGTTCACAAGTTTGGAAAGAAATTATTACTTTCATTCAGCAATAACACACTGTGATAGTACCGGTGTTGCTTCTCCATCCCTCAAAATTGTGTTCTTGTTGTTCTTTATATCTTGTACGATATAATTGTTCATGTGGGGTTTTCCGGTTTATGACCTGTTGTTAGAAGAGTGTTCCTAACCTCTAGGTATGTGTACACCCTGGAGGTGGGGAAAAGCTCATTTTAACTAATTTAAGAAATATCAGTTGTGCAAATGACTTGCGTATTTATTGATTGTGTTTAAACTCATTGTCTTAACAACCATTGAGGGAACTTGCTGGCAGGGGGAACAGAGAGTGGTTTGTGGCTTAATGCAAAGGTTGTTAATTCTGCTTGAGCAAGAAAAACTTCAGTCTCCAACAGTTAGTGAGAGAAGTGGGTGCTAGTATTAGTACCTCAACAGTGCTAGTTTAGACAGTTTTTTGTAACCTTTGTTTTTATTTTAGCTCTTATCCACTGTTGTATGGACCTTTTGCACTTCCTCGCCGTTAAAGTATTAAACTTCTTTTGGCACGACCTTTAAATGGACGCCTGGAGTAATTCTCCTTGTGACGGCTCGGGTCTCTATCACACATTAAATTGATCAAAAGTGACAGTTAAAGTGATAGTTCACTTTGAAATTAATTTTGGTGAATTTTTCAGTCAAACCGTTGTTGTCTATCAGTCATACACTTGAGGCTAAGGGGGTTCACCAAAAAGCATGCACAGAGAAGTCAAAATTAAACATGATTTAATGACTCGTAAATGTAAGTACACATTGATGGCCTAAGACACGAAACGAGCGGTTTGTGTGAGAAAACGAACAGTATTTATATCGTTTTACCTCTTGTAATCTTTGATCATGCTCTTTGAGGTGAACCGATTGAGGACACCCTTCACCTCCAGTGTATGACTGACAGACAACAACAATGGTTTGACCAAAAAATTTCAAAATTGAAAATACTATGGAAACAAAGACACCTACATCTTGGATGCCCTTGAGGTAAGCTAAAACATATGAAAAATTAATTTCAAAGCGAACTATCCCTTTAAGACATTTATAATGTAACGGAAGATTTGTATTTCATTGCAGACATTGCGTCCTGAAAAAATGTGTCATGGTTTCCACAAAAATTTGAAGCAGCACAACTGTTTTCAACATTGATAATAATAAGAAATGTTTATTGAGCAGTGAATTAGCATAGTGTGTATTTGGGAAAAGTGATTAGGGGGGCACAAAAGGTGGAAATAACTCGCGTTTTCCATGTGCTGGTCCATCCATCAGTCCTCAAAATGCCACTAGGCGAGCTAAAATGCTCTTTCGATGATTCTCAAATTATGCTGGAGAACATGGACACCGGGTTTACCCTGTGCAGCTTGAATGCTGTTGTCATTAAAGCTACACTATGTGATTTTTACCCCCATCTAGAGGTGAAAAGGTATATGACCATCCAGTGAATATTAGTTTCTGTTCCTCTCAATTCTGATTTCGTTTTAACTCCTACGGTGGCCAGTGCAGTCCAAAATTAACATGGCTTCCAGTTCGACCTCGTCCATGAGTGTTAACTCAAACATAAACGCGAAATGCAAGCTTGAATTAACGAGTATGTCCCTCTTTGGCTAATGTACTTTCAAGAAGGAGGGGCAACATGGCGAACCCCTTACCCGTATGTATTTTCAATGGCATATCATACACTCACGAGAATACTTTATTACTTGAACAAAGTAAATATACATTAATGAGCACATGTATTTTTGAAAGAACTAAGTGTTTTTAGCTAAGAATAAAACTAAAAGAGTTACACAGTGTAGCTTTAAAGCAGACCAAATACTATCCCGAAATTCATGTTTATTTTTCAAACCAGCTTTTCACTCAAATTGAGGCTGATGATATTATCGAATTATAAAAAAAATTGCATTCATCTGCATTTTTATTAGTGGTCCCAGACTGTTGGGCTGTATGTGGGCACAGTCAGAGTGTAGTCATTACCAGGCATTAACAGTTTGCGCTCATGACGCACAATGAAACTACATACTTGATCTGATGGTGTAGACAAGCACACCAAAGCCACATTGTCTATTCTTTTCACTGATATGTTGTGATATCCAGAAATTTCAACCAAGATGACGTCAGGATATGTGCAGTGCATCAGAAGGTTCATAGACATAAATTTCCCAAGTTTTTATAAATAAGCAGCTTGAATGAAAGTTTAACCTCTTTATGTTTTCAAATAAAGCAACATTATCTAATGAGGTCAAAGACAAAAATAACAGAACGACCGTGACATGTCATCAGCAGAATATGAAGATGATTTTGTAAGGCAATACTTGTGGTTAAAAAAAAAAAAGTCAAAACCACAGACTGCATCATCTTTCTAAGAGACCTCTCTGACTAACGTTGTCCAGTCATGAAGTGGAAAAGAAAAAGGGGAAATTCATACCTCTTCGTTTCCTGCGTCTCTCACCACCCTCACCAACTTCATCTTCACCTTCATCCATGTCATCTGATCCACTGCCGTCAGAGCCAGAGATCTCCTCACCTGAACAGTAGTAGCACAGCAATTATCAGCACTGAACATGTGTATATATAACAATACTCTGGCTCTGTAACAAACCCTAACTCAAATTCTCAAATTCTAAAGCAAAATAATGTTTTATTATGAAAATGTATAATATTTTTTAATATTTAATAATATTTTATATAAATTTAGTGAAAACAGTACAGAAAAACATACACAAAGTGTTTTCTTTTTGCAAGAAATTAACAACAAGGATGCATTAAATTGATCAAAAGTGACAGTAAAGACATGTCACAAAAAATGTCTGAGCAGTACAACTTTTTATAATATTGATAATAATATTGAGCAGGATTGGCATATTATATATGGGGTAATGATGCTGAAAATGAAATCACAGGAATAAATTACATTTTTAAATACATTCAAATAGAACAGGTTATGTTATTTCACAATATTACTGTTAAATATAACTTCACCAACATTACCAGCCTTTAACTAATCTACATGCTAACACTATTAGAATCAACTGTGGGTGTTAATTGGGAGTTACATGTGACCGTTAGAAGGTAGTTCCCAATGAAAACAACCTTGTACCCAACGAAGGTTTAGACCACAGGAAATGAGTTACATCCTGAAGACCAACCCTGACATAAAAAAAAGAAAATGACATAGATGAAACCGATGTGTGGTACCTTCTTCCAGTTTTTTCTTGAGCTCTTCAATTTCCTTCTGAAATTGGCGCAACAGCGCATCCTTGGGGTCCTCATTAATTCTGGCCTTATTCTTAATATTTTTGGCACGGTTAGCATAGCGGAGAGTACTGATGGTCTCATCGTAGTTGTAATCTGCTGGGCCGATGTTTGCACACTGCAATGTAACAGATCATCAAAACTGTCAGCAATAGTTTGACTGAAATCGCATTCATTTCTACAGAGTTTTAATCATAACTAGTAGAAAAAGCTCATAACTGTGTGCACATCGACTATCGTACCATCATGGTTTTAGAGTTTCCTCCGAGGGAGTCCTGTAACAGTCGGGTGAGTTTTGAGTTCCTGTAGGGCACGTGGGTGCTTTTCCCATCCACTAGTGCAGAGATAACATTTCCCAGGGTGGACAGGGACAGGTTGATTTTTGTGGCTTCTTTAAGACGTTGACCTGTGGCACCTGTTTTTCCTTGTCTTTCAGATCCCTGAGCAATAAAACAATTCAGTCACGGAAAGGAAACCAAAACACTAAAAGTTCACCCACATGATGAGGGTCGCTTACCGCAAGGTCGACCAGGTGAAGCTTGCCCATGCGCACATGTTGATTTCCATCTACACCTTTCTCACTGCACTCAATAGTTATGGTGAAGATGGCATGAGAGCGAGAACTGTGCTCGTTCATATTAGTCGCGCCTACAGAACCTGGACAAAGACAAACAACACGGACTTTGGCTATCTTTGGACTTCCTGTCTAGAAAGCATCCGAACCCAATGCCAAGTAAAGTTGACCCTCGCTCTAATATTCTCCGTTTGGTCAACACATTTTTTTATATTACTATTATAATCAGTTGGGGAAAGTTACTTTTAAAAGTAATGCGTTACAATTAGGGCTGTCAGTTAAACGCGTTATTAACGGCATTAACGCAAACCCATTTTAACGGCGGCAATTTTTTTATCGCGCGATTAACGGTCTTTTTGGCCTAGCAAACTTTGCCGTTTTTTTTTCACATGCTTTTGCAACAGGACGTGCTCTGTGCTATGAAACCTATTCATTTCAATGGCTTGCGCCGCGCAATGACGTTAAGTTGCTTCACCAACCAAAGCGCAAGCAGATCTAGCTAGACCGGAAACAAAACAACAGGCACGTTGGGCAACAACAGGACATACTTGTTTGGGCTTGCGAGCCGGCCAAATAGTTGGTTAACGATACGTTTTGAGTGTATGACGCCGAAATGGATGCCACTAAAATTCTGAATGGAAATTTTACTTTTAAAAGTTGCCAAATGGTTCAATTGACAAGACCAAAGTGATCGGTGTGTTTTGTCATTGTGAACTGAGGTATCATCATCGCAGCACGTCCAGTCAAATACCGCTTATTTATTTAACATTTAATAATTGCAGGTTTCCATAATATTCTGAGTTTGTATATTCTAAATTGTTTTTCAGACTGCAGAATTCATTAAAAGTTGCATTTTCGGTTGGATTTAGAGAAACCACTTTTTGGTTTCTTTGGGTTTTTTTTGGAGAAATCACTTTCACATTTGTTGGTTTGAGCTATTTCAATTACTTTTATTTGATTTGTTCATTGTAAACAGCTGAAAGTCTGTAAATTTTTCTAATAAACCTGATTTGAAATGGGAGTTGAATAATTTCGATTACAACTGTACGTAATCTGATTACGTAACTCACATTGCTTGTAATGCGTTACCCCCCAACACTGATTATAATCACTCATTAAAATTCATTTTAGATTTTTGCAACCAATAAATTAATAAAGCAGTCATCCATGCTCATAGAAAAACATACCCATATTTAAGATCTATTGTAAAGACCTATTCAACTCTAAATATTGCTTTGCATTCCGAAAACAACTAGTATGTTTAATTTATTCAGTAAAATAATAATATACTCACGGTTTTTGTGTCCAAGGGTCATAATCCGGTCCATATCGTCAGCATTGTTTACCACATATCCAGAAAGATCCTTGATATAAACTCCTACATCAGGTCTCTCCTTGACCTGTATTATAATATGGCATTCATCATTTGCATATGTGGCCTTCACAATTCTGCATTTAAGTTGCACAACAAATTGCCTCAATTCAATTATAGCTGTAGTTACAGTAAGTTGTTATGAAGTTTTGAAAACATCATCAAATGAAATCCAATATAGACAAATATTAAATTAAACAAACCCAAAGAGTGGGCAATTAACAAATTAGTTTGAATTATCAACTTCTGTTTGACGCGTGTAAATTCAGTGGAAATTGGTGCCGTTTTCTATTGAATTCTGTGGGGGCGGATTTCATGCGGATGTATGCATTAGTCGAGTGCCTCATGGCCTATATTTAGAGTGTTGGATTAATGGCACACCTAGTAAGTGCAATGCTGGGGGGCCCCCAGAAACAGGAGTGAGAAACTCAAGCTCTCAACTATCAGATATGCGGAAATATGTTGCGTTTCTCACCTCCAGCCTCTGCATCTGGTCCTTTCCCAACAGGTCTCGTACCTCCTCATTGTAAATTTCCAAATAGGAAACTCTTACGAGAAACCTGTGGTCAGATTACACATGTCAGCAGAGTTCATCTTATGGTCACATCTCTGATAACGTTGAGAAGATGGATCATAATTAAGAAATCATGAGAATTCATTAATTCAACACATTACCACAAAAACAATCCCCATCTCACCTGGTGTCTCCTTCTGCTTTTGCAATGTGGCCAAATACATGAGCAAATGAATTTGGAATGATGCCTCTGAGTTCAGGCACGGCCCTGACCCCCTCCATGGTGAACGTTTTCCCTGTGCCTGTCTGTCCGTATGCAAATATGGTCCCTGAAAAAAACAAATGAATCATCATTTCAAATGAATCATTTGCAAAAACAGCCAAATAGATAAAAACTTGGCAATCTACGCAATAAATATTGATATTGTCTTTTACTTACCGTTGTAACCCTCTAATACGGAGTCAATGATGGGACGAGCTGTTAAATTATACACATCCAGCTGTTTGCTATCTTGTCCGAACACGGTGTCGAAGGTGAACGTCTTCGGGGGCTCACTAGCTATATCAAGTTTGTTCACAGTAATGGTTCCTCGGATCTCGTCCACAGTGACGGCCTGCTTGTGTGCCATCATCTTCTCCTTCTCGTTGAGGGGTCGACATCTCACCACCACCTTCACGTTATCACTGACCTCCATCTTCTCTGGTTTATCCAGCTTATTACTCTGTACAAATACAAACCAGTTAAAAAAACATTAGGGCGGGACTGTTTGTCAGCAATTGGAGTCGGCCATAAATATGTGAAAATTCATCATAGAAATATTTTTAAAGAATTTTGATTGTAATCGATTTTGTGAAATCTAAACGATAAATAAAATGAACAGACAATTTATAGGTGCGTTCACAACTTGTTGGAATTATCGCAAATACGAGATTCTGACTTGTAATAAGTGAGAATGTGTTCGTAGAACTCTTAATTTCAATTTTTAAACTCTGAATTTGTACCATGTGACCGCTGTACTACCTGACTACAGCAGATTCATTTTAACAACTCACAGGTTGCCATCTCGTAATTACGGTAATTAAGACATGGTGTGAACTAGCATATTTCCACTGCATGGTACGGTATGGTTCGGCTCGGTACGGCACGCTTTGGCGCATTTCCACTGCATGGTACGGTACGGTTGGGCTCGGTACAGCTCACTTGTGGCGCTTTTTCACTGCATGGTACGGTACGGTATGGCTCGCTTTAAATGGTACCTGGTCTGTTGAGGTTCCAACTTCCAAGCGTACCGTACCGGTACTAAATGTGACGTGAAACACTGCAGATCACTGATTGGTCAGACAGAATCGTCAGTACCATATTTGGTTCTGATGATGGTACGTCAGAACCATCGTCAATACAACAGTCATTGTATTTGCGACCATTAGACATCGACATGAGAAACCAAACCCGCTAGATTTAAATAGCGAGTAACAGCCACCGCTGTTATCGAACAGTCTATAATCCCACCCACTTTAAAGCAGTACTAACTGCAGTGGAAAAGCAACCGTGCTAAAATGAACCAAGCCGAGTCGTACCGCGTGCCGTGCCAAGCCGAACCGTACCAGCAGTGGAAAAGCGCCAATAGTTGTGGCATCATTTCTAACCATTTCATTCTTAAAAAGGTTTACAAACAGAATCAGTTAAGGATAAGTTTAAGAAATTTGCTGCAGGGATAATGTTAAAACCCAGAAGATTAATTCGCCACTGGTTCCCTCAAGACATTTCCTATGGGGTTTTATAAAGGGGTTTTTCAATTCATGCACAAAATAAGGTCTAGTAAACATAACTTGACGATATAACTTTCTATATTTCTAGATACTATACATGTGACCTCATTACATCAGTATTACTTTAAACAGTATTATATACTGTTTACATAATTGTTTTATTAGAGTTTATTTACTAAAGTCACAAAGAAAAGAGCCCATAAATAAAGAAAGACAAAATTAAGGTATCTTGGCGTGAGCTATGGGTTATCTTGTAATCTTAACCTTTATTGTATTGTAACGTTAAAGGTCACCGGTTGCTGATGTCTCTGATAGGTGGGGTCAACGCTGTTGCTAAGCAGCGGATATGATCGGCCTGTGTCGAGCTAACGGCTAAATTAATCGACAACAAAAAGGAAAAATCATTTTTGCACGCAGAACATCCCTAGTTATCTGTTATAAGCGGTTTTTAAAATAATGTCTCATGAATCCAAACGTGAATCTGACTAGTTGAGAGATTTTAACATTGTAAAACCCCTTCAATTTGCTATGATGCTAACTAGCTGGCAGCTAGTTTGTGCACAAAACCACTCTAGTCATTAAAAATGACAAAATCATCACACAAGAATTAAATGCATCATAGAAGAGAACGATAACGGCGCGTGCATGCTAGAAAATTCAGTCAAATAACAGTCTGTGAATATTTGCATTAGATTCTGGTTGCAAAGCGAATGAATGATGGGAAGGTGGGGCATAACAACACACATTATTATGCACAGCGATAAATAAATATAGAAGCTTGCAATCTTACCGGCATTTTAAGATGCGGATATATGGTTCTTTATTAAGACCTCAATAAAAGCGTTTTCTGAGGAATGACATTCGATGAGCTCATTCGGGTGGATGTAGTGTTTTTCCAGTGCCGCCGATCCCAAACTCAACCTGCCCAGTGCTGCGGTTACTGGACATGCGCAATGCAATGCGCGCTCCTGACATCACCCAGACATAAACAAATTATGTATATCAAAAATGTGTATTAGTCTTTCCCAATACCTTTCCTTTTATCCAACTGCATAGTATTATTTTCATATTTTTGCCATCTGATATGCTTTATTATTATCAGTATTATCCCACTGTCACTAAATACATGATTGTGTGTGTGTGTGTGTGTGTGTGTGTCATATTACAGTATGTATCTTACTGAAATGGCAATTTATTCACGTGAAGGGGGCAAAATGAGAAATGTTTAGGCAAACAATACCCAATTAAATTCAATAAAAGTCCAAAAGTCCAATAAGAGAAAATTCTTCAAAAAAAGTATTTTTTTGTTTATTATTATATTAGTTTAATCATTTTCACAAAAATAAGGATATACAGTACCTATGACATTTTATACAACAAAACGTTTACTATACCGAGACAAGAGAATTGTGTGCGTGAAAAAGACAATCTTGAGTAAATCGTCATTAGTCCTCCTTCTAAATCCAGCAGTCGTACCCCCGGTTTCACAGACGAGGCGTAAGCTAGTCCCAGACTAAAAAGCATGTTTGAGCTGTTTTAACTGAAAGCAACTTGTACTGACATATCTTAAAACATGTCAGCACCATTGTTTTGTCTCAAAAATGCACACCAGTAATATTGTGTTTTTTTCAAAGGCATGTTTATGAAAGCCACTTAAAAGTCCTAATTGAGCTAAAATTTAATTCTGGCTTAATCTAAACCCTGTCTGTGAAACCAGGCCATAGACTACTTGGTTCCCACTAAGCTACTTGGTTCCCAGAATTAACAACCTTCCCCCCCTCTCACCCCATCCAAAAGTGCAAACAGTGATTCAACAAACAGTACAAAAAGGCACATTTTTCAGTCATAACTGACTAATGACGAAGGAAAACCCTACAGGTTTTTGTGCCAAGTGGGTGTGCATGAAAAATGATGCGTTCTGTCATATGTTATACACGGGATATTGCTTTAAATTTCGGTATATTGCACAACAGGCCTAAATGACTTGACTCTAAACACAGCACTGGTCAGAGAACACATACACAACAGAAGAAACTGTGGCTCTCAAAGGACTTTGTCTAGTATTTCCAGAACGCTGATGTAGAAAAGACCCGTTTTCCCACTGATCTCCTGCGTCACCAGAAGCCTCCCGTCTGCTCGAGGCCTTTGAACGACGACTATTTCACCCTCCGTCAGCGTGAGCTCTGCATCTGTTTTAGCGTTGTACCCCTTCATTACCCTATATCTGCAGAAAAATCCATGCGTCAACATCAAAAACAATATCAACTTCTGTCAGAATGCACCAATCATAAAAAGCTTATCTAAATGCTTCTTGACAGGAAATGTTTTTCAGTTAAAAACAGTTTCGGTGTATTATCTCATATCTGCTTAACTGACAATTTTCAGGAGGAAGAGAAAAAAAAATCTGCCACTAATTTCTAGATAATTTTCCCACACATAAGCAATTAGATCAGATAACGCAAAACTCAAGAATACGCACCTACTAGAGCCGGACTGGTTGCTGATCAGTACTGGCTTTATATTTAGTGAGAGGCAGTCCATAGTGGCATGATCCTGACCTGTGCTCTTTCTGGCTGGGAGTGTTTTTGTGTCTTTAAGAACTAATGTATTTCCATCCCGACCCAATATGGCTGAAGGGTTCCAGTGGTCAAGAGCGGAAAGGCCAGACTGGGAACCAGAGGTATGTCCTGCAGATGAGGCGGACGCCATTTTTGATGTTGTCTGAGGAGCATCGTGAGTCAGGAACCGCACTGACTTCACTGGCTAAAAGAATATAAAAAAAAAAACAAATTCAGCCATTAAAACCATGCTTATGTTATTCTTTTAAACCTGTGCCTTTAAAAATTAGATCCTATTATTCCTGAAACATTTCTTTTACCTTCTCTGCATTGTGCTTATGAGCCTCTGGTTTAACCAGAATGGACTGACGAGCTGTGCTGGCCTCTTTCTGGACAGGGTCCCTGTAGACCGGCTGATGTCCACCAGCAGAGGGTGCTGTTGTTTCATACGCCCAATGCTGCGTCTTAATGGGGTTTGAGAACAATCCGTTTCTCTTTTTGGGAAGAACGGGTGAACGACCGAAAGTATAGATCTGTCCCAAATCTTGAGGAGGAGGAGGCTGAAGGCTTGGGATGGAATGTGAATTGTAGCTTCCGTGGTGAGGCGACCCTAAACAAAAGGTCAAGCAGAAGTGAATCACTGCATCAGACTGAACAAATACACATATATAACACATTCCATGCAAGTTAAAATCTGTATGTCAACTAATATCTAAAAATATATGATGATGAGAGAATAATCCATATATCCTTTTTTCAATCAAAATTAAAGGGATAGTTCACCCCAAAATTAAAAAATGTCATTATTTACATTATATATTATTCACCCTCAAGTTGTTCCAAACCTGTATACAGCAAAAAAAAAAAAAAAAAAAACAATGGAAGTCAATGGGCACTGTCACCTGTTCGATTACATTCTTATATTCAACCTTCTTTAAAATATCTTCTTTTGTTTTCAACAGAAGAAAGAATCTCATCCATATTTGGAACAACATGAGTTGAGTAAATGATTTCCTTTTGGGGTGAATTGAAAATTAATTATGTACACATTTTATTAGGTACACACAAAACGTACCTGTTTTGTAGAGCGGCCCTACAGAGGCACAATTGGTAAAAGGTTTGTAAAAATTATGATTTTTTTTCTTATGCTGTATCAAATATACATTTAAACATTTTAATATTATGATTTTTTTTAAAGATTTCAAATAGCTTTCTTCTAGTTTAATATATTGTGAAGTGTAATTTATTTCTGTGATGCAATGCTTAATTGCTTAATAAAAAGATCACTCGAGTCTTCAGTGTCACATTATCCTTCAGGAATCATTCTAATATGCTGATTTGCTGATCAATGATCAATTACTATCGGTTCATATTTTTGTGGAAACTGTGATAAGTTATGTAAGATTCATTGATGAATAGACAGTTCAAAAGAACAGCATTTATTTGAAATACATATATGTTGTAACTAGGGCTGTGCAAAAATTAATTGCGATTAATCGCATCCAAAATAAAAGTCTGTGTTTACATAATATATTTGTGTGTGCTGTATATAATTATTTTGTATATATAAATACACACACATGCATGTATATATTTAAGAAAATGTGTTATTCATATATAAAATATTTATATTTATATAATATTGATTATGTATTTAGAAATATATACAGAATTTAAGCGCAAATAATTCTTAAATATATACATGCATGCATAGGTATTTATATATACAAAATAATTATATACAGCACACACAAATATATTATGTAAACACAGACTTTTATTTTGGATGCGATTAATCGCAATTAACTTTTGCACAGCCCTAGTTGTAACATTATAAATGTCTTCAGTCACAAAACTATTAATTTATTTTAAAAAAATATCTTACTGACCCTTTAACTTTAACTTTTGAAGGGTGAACGACCGAAGACTGTTTCACAACAGTCACAATATCACTGTTTTAACAGTATTTTTGATCAAATTAATGGTATTTTTGATCCAAGCATGAGAAACTTTCAAAAACATAAAAAAACATAATAATTATAAATTGTGACAGGATGAAATGTGCAAATAAAACACAAGTTGGACTAGTTTTTGATTTAGAACAGTTGCAATAGCTATAAAGACTGACTACTGTTGTCACAGCGTGCTGGGGCTTGTTGGCTCTCACCCCTGTGTGTGGCATGGAAGGTGCGTCTCACTGTGCCCCATCCCTGCTTTCCACCCAGCTGCGGTGCTCTCCCAGGACCGGCAGATGACATCACGGCCATTGTAGCTGATGGGGAGTCGCCGTTTACTCTGTCTAGGGCCAGGACTACAGCCTGCGGCTTGTGTTGGGTGTGTCGTTTTGTTGATACTGTGCTTGTATTAGGAACGGCAGGTTTGGTTTGTTCAAGAAACCTTGCAGATGTTCTGTGAGAAAGTTAGTATATTACTGTAAACTTGATTATCAAGATAATAGGCGTGTGCTCGTAAAAATAAAAAGGTTCCAATTAGAACTTGTGAAATGTTTGCATTCTCTAGTTATTAAAGCTGCAGTCTGTAGCTATTTTTTGGGTTAAAAATGATCCAAAATACATATTTGAGAAAATACAAAACCAGCCAGTGTCAACTATCTGCTTGCCGTAGCTCGATTTACGTAAAGCGGTAAGCTTGTTATGTTTTTAATTCCAGTGGTACTGGTGGATTTCCACGGGAGAATCAAGCATGTCTTTGAGCCATTACGTCACATCTGTACACATAAAGAAGCGTCTCGGCTAGTAAGCTACAGTGTGTGTGAGGATGTTGGAGGTGAAGATTTATAGCCTTTTCTCACCGCACTTGATACAATTAAACGTATCAATTTGATGGCGGATCCAGAAAGGTTCAAACGACAATCACCAGTGACAACAGATTCACCCGCTGTAAAATACACAAGACTCGGACTTCGGAGTGGCTTATAGAAAAAAAAAAGAGACTGCAACCGGACCCTTGCGAAAACATAAATAAATATCGGAAGGACATTACATGTAGTCACGCAATGCTTGCTTACGTTTTTAACATTAACAATTTGAGAACAAAGTCTAATTTGCACGGTTTTGCATGATATAACTTATAAGCGATTGTTAGATATAATCCGACTGACAGCTGCACACTCTCCTCAAACATTGTGTTCATCCACGCTGTGCCGTGTCGAGGGTGATGAAGTACAACTCGCGTAGAGTTAATAATTCCGCGAATGACTGCAATTGCAGATTTCATACAGAGATGGCGACAAAGAGAAAAATGCCAGACTGCAGCTTTAAGAAAATGTACAGTATAAAGAACCCAAGCACAAATAAACTGATCTAAAGAGCTTACGTCAATATTTTAATAATGTGTTTATCATTAAATGATGTAAGGAGGTGAAGAAGAGAATGAA